TCGATGGAGCTGTGGGAACGGGGTGAGCCTGACCATCTGTACAGGGGACCGTCTGTACAGGGGATGATGGAGCTGTGGGAACGGGGTGAGCCTGACCGTCTGTACAGGGGACCGTCTGTACAGGGGACATTCAACAGCTTTTCGCCCTTCCTGTTTCCTCCTTAGTCTGCCTTATCCACTGCACAACAGCTCGCAGATCATAGCTTATAAGAACTCAAAGTATCGTAAAAATGTCAATGAGATCAGGCAGTTTTATCAGAAGCAGCATCAAAACTGGCATGTGATTGACGGCTTTCACAGTAAATGGTGGGTATGGAATGAAGTCCTCAAAGACATCCAACAGATGAATAAGTACATACAGACATACATGGAAAAGATAAAGGAAGGTAAGAAAACACGTTTGTGTGTGCGTGCGTGCGTGCGTGCATGTGTGCATGTGTGTGCAGGTCCAAGTGTGTGTATATGGATATACAGACCAGAGGGCATCCTCACAGAGCAACTTCAGATGTTTTTCTTTTGTTTCTTACTTTTTTGTTTTTTGAGGGAGGCTTGCTATATACCCTTGGCTGGCCTGGAACTTGCTCTGTAGACCAGGTTGGCCTCAAATTCACAGAGCTCTGACTGTCTCTGCCTCCCAAATGATAGGAAAAACTTTTTTTAAATAAAATAAAGTGTGAATTTAAAATTTAGATATGCCGTGTCCCTGTTTGCATAATTTATTAAAATGTTAAACTTAGCCTTGGCAATTAGAATTTTAAATATACAGTAGTAACTGAATGTTGGCAGGTCACACCAAAATTCATATCTGGAAACTTAACCTACATTTAAACAACGTAACAGTTTAGGAGGCCCCGGGGCATTTCGGACAGGATCAGGTCGTGCAGTCACCACTTGTCTGAGTGGAGTAGTTCCCTTTATTACGAGAAGGCTAACGGGAGCTCAGCTCATTTGTCCCTTCTAGGTCAGGGACATAGCTGTGAGCGGACACGTCCAATCAGATACTAAACCCACTGACTGTTGGATCTTGCACTTCCTCATCTCTGCAGCTGCCTTGCAATAAATTTCCATTGTGAGTCGGTTACCCTGCCTGAGCTCTTAGATGCACAGCCCAGGCAGAGCAGCCATGCTGGTGTGTCCCTTTGTTGTAATCAGCAGCAGCTGCTACTCCAGCTTATTCTTTAGTTTTGTGTTTCACTTCTTTGTTTCCATGGATACATCATTCTGGCAGTTTTCCTGGCCAGTGCAGGTGGATCTAACCCAAGGCCTTGCACGTGCTGGCTGAGCATCTGTGCAGGCAACCTTCAGTGCACACCTCTGTGGAACTGTGTGATGAGTCAGTGCTGGTGCACAGTGGGTAATGGTCAAGAACGTTAATGCTTACATTTCTATAGCTGGACTATATTTAACTGACCGCAATGCCCTCCAGACCTCCAAAATGATGGTATTTCATTCTTATTTAAGACTGAACAAAATTCATTGTGTATAGACTATATTTCCTCTATCCATTCATCCACTAATGGATACTTTGGTTGATTCTACGTCTTAGATGTAGAATCTAAAATGTGAGTGCCTACATCTTTTGATATACTTAATCCATTTCTTTCATATTTATACTCTGAATTGGAGGTAGCCAGATCAAATAATAGTTCTAAGTTTTGGTCATTTGAAGAACCATGGTGCTGTTGTCTACGATGGCCGCATTGACAGTGTATGAGTACCTCTCCGCACGCATCCTTGCCAGCATTTACTATTCTTTTCTCTATTTTACTATGAGTACCCTGGGATGAGATATAGTGCCTCCTTATGGTTTTGATTTGCATTTCTCTGATAACTAGTGAGACTGAGAAACTTTGTATATTTGTTGGCATGTCTTCTCGAAAATATGTGTTTGTACTTGAACCCATTGCTTTTCTCATCCCTGTGACCAAATATTTGACAAGAACAAACTTAGGTGGTGAAGAATTTACTTGGCTTCCAGTTTGAAGGGATACAGTCCCTCCTGGCAGAGAAGTCATGGTGATTGTGGGAGGTGTTCAAAGCTGCAGTAGTTGCTGGAACCCAAGCAGAAAGAGGATGGGAAGTGGGAATGAGCCTGAGTTTATAAACTACAAGACCTACAGCGCCAGCAACCCACTTGCTCCAGCTGGGTCTCACCTCCCAAAGGTTCCATAATCTTCCCAAACAGCACCAACAGGAAGGGACCAAGCGCTCACACACAGGAGCCTGTGGGACATTTCAGACTCAAACTGAAATATCATTGGTCAGCTGGTTGTTTTGTTTGTTTTCATGCTGTTGAGTTGTTCGTGTATTCCATATGCGTGCAGTTGTTCGTGTATTCCGTATGCGCACTGGTGTTCGTGTATTCCGTATGTATGCTGGGGTTAACCCCATTGTCAAAGGCTTTTCCCTGCACTGTAGGGTCTCTCTTCTTGCTGGTAAGAGTCTTCAGCTGTGCAGAAGCATCTTCGTTTCGATCAATGAATCACTTTATCAAATTTGCTTTTCTTGTCTGTACTTTTGTGGTCTGACTAAAACAAACCGTTGCCCAGACTTGTTAAAACTTTTCTTCATGTGTTTTCCTGTCTGTCTCACCCTCCCCCTCTCTCTTCTTTCATCATCTATCCATCCATCCATCTATCCATCCATCTATCTCCCTGTCTCCCATGCTCATTCTCTCCCTCCCTCTCCCTTCCCCTGGCTTTCTCTCATTCTCCTGGACCCCTTTCCTCTCCCCCCTCCCCAGTGCTTTTTGTGTCAGGGTCTGACTCTATACCTCAGGCCTTGCAACTCACAGAGATACTACCAAGTGCCAGGATCATAAGCAGAAACTTCCTGTAGTTTTAGATCCTCAACACATTTTGAGGTTTTTAGTATTTTGGTTTTGTTATTGTTTCATAGGGCTGTTGTTATTTGGTTGTTTTGTAGACTGAATACAGGGCTTTTCACATATTAAGCTAGAATAGATAGCATTGAGTTATATGCTATGTTATTTGTTTCTTGTTGCTATGGCACCTACCTGAGAAAAACAGTATAAGGAGGCGATCTTATGTGGACACACTCAAAGGTCTGAGCCCATCTTGTCTATTGTGATTGTTTCCTGGCTGTGGTGGTTGTTTTGTAGCTGTGGTGGCTGTTTTGTGGCTGTGGTGGCTGTTTCGTGGCTGTGGTGGTAGTTTCGTGGCTGTGGTGGCTGTTTCGTGCCTGTGGTGGTTGTTTTGTGGCTCTGGTAAGGCACCCACCCTACTATGGGGAAGACATGGAAGAGGAAGCTTTGTCATTGTGTTGCATCCAGGAAGTAGAGAGGAAGAATAGGACCAGTGGGTGAAATACAACCTTCTAAGTCATGCCCCAATGACCTACTTCTTCATTCAAGTTGTCACTACCCTCAAGATGATGTCAACACCTGGAGACCAAGCCTTCATCATGCATGAGGGACATAGCATTCCATCCTTGGCTCCCAAAGGCTCTTAGCTGTCTCATAATGCAAAATGCATTTAGTCCATCTCCCAGAGCCTCCATTGTTCAAAAGTCCAAATTCTGAGTCTTCTCTGAACCAAAAGGCAAAACTTTCTCATACGACCAAGAGGAAACTTAGATGTGCTGAGATATGACAACACTGGGTAAATTCCCATTCTAAACAGGAGGAAGGGGTAGGAGCCCAACAAGACATCATCAGACCAAATGACACAGCCACAGCTCCATGGCCAACATCCGAGACAGGTAGTGTTTTCGTCCAATTTAAACCAGGGTTGAGCCGCCCCACCCCACCCCCAAAGCTAGCTATGTATGGTCCTCACAGCCTTTCTCTTAGGCTGGCTCCATTCACTCCCTTCGGCTTTCCTCAAAGGACCTTCCATGTTCTTGGCATTCATGCTTGCATCTCCATTGTATCTGAGACCCCACCCACACAGCTTTGTGCAACACCATTTCAAGAGCCACCTGGAGAGATGCTGACCTTGCCACACACTAACTGACCTCCCAGCTCTCTTTTAAAATCTCAGTGGAGGGCTGGAGAGATGGCTCAGCGGTTAAGAGCACTGACTGCTCTTCAAGAGGTCATGAGTTCAAATCCCAGCAACCACATGGTGGCTCACAACCATCTACAATGAGATCTGATGCCCTCATATGGGTGTCTGAAGACAGCTACAGTGTACTTACATATAATAAATAAAAAAAAAAAAATCTCAGTGGAAGCTTTTATGACCCTATAGCTCTCTCATTAGTCATACCTGAAATGGCTGATACAGTCTACATCATTACTTACTTATTTGCTGGCTTTTCAAGACAGAGATTTGCTGTGTCTCTCAGACTGGCCTCAAACCCTGGCTTCCTGAATGCCAGGGTTACTTTACATCACTACACCTAGCAGACAGCCTCATCTTCTAAGTGAGCCAACCTTTAGGAAGGCAAGAGAAAGTGAGAGAGCCAGCAAGACAGAAGCCCTGGCCTTTGGAATTGGTCTAATATCCTAGGGTTACTATGAAAAAGTGCCCACATTGAGTGGATTACATGACAATGATGTACTGTGTCACAGTTCAAGAGGCAAGAAGTTCAAAAGCAATGTGTTGGTAGTGTCCTGCTGTCTCTGAGGACTTTATGGAAGGACCTGCTACATGCCTCTCTGTTTCCAGCATAGCCAGCAATCATTAGCTAAGGAAGTCACATAACAACCCTATCTCTGTCACCGAATGGCATTCTTTTTGTCTCTCTGTCATAAGTCATGCTCCTTAGCCTCTCTCTCCACCTGACTTTGTTCTCAAGGTTCAAAGGTGCTATGAGTATTTCAGTGTCTTTTCTAAGAAGACACAGTCGAGCCTAGCAAATAATCCTGTGGTATAGATCACATTGTTTGTTTGTTTGTTTGTTTGTTTGTTTTTTCAGACAGGATTCCATTATGTAGCCCTAGCTGGTCTTGAACACAGAGAGATCTACCTGCTTCTCCCTCCATTTCTCTGGGATTAAAGGCATGTGCTTTGGGTATATCCTTTTTCATTTTTAAAAATTTTATTTATTTACATTTCAAATGTTTTCTCCTTTACCAGTTTCCCCTCTCCAAACCCCCATCCCATCCTCCCTTACCTTGTTTCTATGAGGATGCTCACCCACCTACCCACCCACTCCTGCCTCAGTGCCCTATCATTCCTCTACAATGAGGCATTAAGCCTTCACATAACCAAGGGCCTCCCCTCCCATTGATGCCAGATAAGGCCCCTTCAGCTCCTTCAGTCCTTCCCCTAACTCCTCCATTGGGGTCCCCATGCTCAGTCCAATGGTTGGCTGCGAGCATCTGCATCCGTATTGGTCAGGATCTGGAAGAGCCTCTCAGGAGACAGCTATATCAGGCTCCTGTCAGCAAGCACTTCTTGGCATCTGCAATAGTGTCTGTGTTTGGTGTCTGCATGTGGAATTGATTCCCCAGGTAGGGCAGTCTCTGTATGGCCTTTCCTTCAGTCTCTGCTCCACTCTTTGTCCCTGTATTTCCTTTAGACAGGGGCAATTCTGGGTTGAAATTTTGGAGATGGGTGGGCAGCCCCATTCCCCCAACCATGGGATGCCATGCCTAACCTCTGGAGATGGTCTCCACAGGTTCTCCCTCCCCTTTGTGGCTAATGTCATCACTGTGGGGTCCTGGGAGGCTCTTGCTTTCCTGGCATCTGGGACTTTCTGGTTGCTACCCCCAGTTCCCCATCCCCCATTGCTACACACCTCTGTTCAATTTCCTGACCCTCTGTACATCTCCTCCATCTCTTCCCATACCTGATTCTTCCCACCTTTTTCCCCTCCCCCTCTTCTCTCTCTTGCAAGTCCCTCCCACCCTCTACTTCTCTTGATTATTCTGTTCCCCCTCCTAAGTAGGACTGAAACATCCACTCTTTGCTCTTCCTTCCTCTCGAGCTTCATGTGGTCCGTGAGTTGTATCGTGAGCATTCCAGGCTCTTTGCCTAAAATCCACTCATCAGTGAGTGCATCCCATGTGTGTTCTTTTGTGACTGAGTTACCTCACTCAGGATGATATTTTCTAGATCCATCCATTTGCCTGCGAGTTTCATGAAGTTATTTTTTTAATGGCTGAGTAGTATTCCATTGTGTAAATGTACCACATTTTCTGTATCCATTCCTCTGTTGAGGGATATCTGGGTTGTTTCCAGCTTCTGGCAATTATAAATAAGGCTGCTATGAACATAGTGGAACATGTGCCCTTATTACATGTTGGAGCATCTTCTGGGTATATGCCCAGGAGTGAGACAGCTGAGTCCTCAGGTAGTACTATATCCAATTTTCTGAGGAACCACTAGACTGATTTCCAGGGTGGTTGTACCAGCTTGCAATCCTACCAGCAATGGAGGAGTGTTCCTCTTTCTCTACATCCTTGCCAGCATCTGCAGTCACCTGAGTTTTTTATCTTAGCCATTCTGATTGGTGTGAGGTGGAATCTCAGGATTGTTTTGATTTGCATTTCCCTGATGACTAAGGATGCTGAACATTTTTTTAGGAACATTTGTTTCAGCCATTCAAGTTTCCTCAGTTGAGAATTCTCTGTTTAGCTCTGTTCCCCATGAAGCATGCCCAAGTGCAGTCAGACATGGTGCTGGAGGAGCCAAGAGTTCTACATCCTGATCCGAAGGCAGCCAGGAGGAGACTCTGAATTCTGCAGGCAGTCAGGAGGGGGGTCTCTTCTGTACTAGATGGAGCCTGAGTAGTAGGAGACCTCAAAGCCCACCTACACAGTGACACACTTCCTCCAACAAGGCCACACCTCCTAATGGTGCCACTTCCCATGAGCCAAGCACATTCAAACCACAAAAGCAAATTAATATTAGAATTGTGTAGACAATACTTGTTCAAACATAAATGTGTGTACATGTGCATGCATGTGTGTGTGTTCATGTGTGTGTGTGTGCACATTTGCATATGTGTTGCATCTTCATATGCCCATTCACACAGATGTGTGTATGTATATGTAACTATTGTATACATATAAAATATACATGCAAACATAACTATTTTTGTTACATGTATATAGTTGATAATACTTTAAAACTAGAACAAAAATAGTCAACAAAGATAAATTATTTAAGTAAACTATACTTATATGCATAAGTTAATGGTCATATATTTATAGTATATATATATATATATATATTTATCTATGTGTGTGTGTGTGTGTGTGTGTGTGTGTGTGTGTGTGTGTGTGTGTAATTTGTGTAGTAGAATACTATGCACACATTCAAAGGAATTGGGTAGCTGGGCATGGTAGAGCACTCCTGTAACTCTAACACCCAGAAAGCTGAAGCATGATGACACCACAGATCAAGGCTGCCTGAGGAAACATCAGAGCATGTCTCCTTGAGCAGAAAAAAACAAACCAAAATTAACATATCTAAAGAATTGTCTCAACAAAGAAAGATGTCAAAGACTACAATGAACTGATAAGTCAAATTGCAAAATAATGCTTAACAGCATAAGTACAGTGCCTTAGTTAGGGTTTCATTACTGTGAAGAGACACCATGACCAAGGCAGCTCTTACAAAGGACAACATTTAACTGGGGATGGCTTACAGGTCCAGTGGTTCAGTCCGTTATCATCAAGGCAGAAGCATGGCAGCATCCAGGGAGGCATGGCACTAGAGGAGCCAAGAGTTTTGCATCTTGATCTAACTGCAGCCAGGAGAAAAACTGACTCTTCCAAACTGGGCGGAGCTTCAAAGCCCATGACAGTGGACACGTCTTCCAATCAGGCCACACCTCCTAACAGAACCACTCCCTATGGGCCAAGCATATTCAAACCACTACATATACTATATGCAAAAGACATGTATATATGCAAATGTACAGAGAAAAAAAGGCTAAAAGGGGTATAAACCCAACAGTGAGTGCCTCCAGTGAGTAGTAGTAGGCTAGAGGCTGCAAGCAGGAAGAATAACTTTTATTTGTTTGCTTGCTAGTTTGTTTTAAAACAGGTTCTCACTATGTAGCCCATGTTGGCTTAAAACTTGAGCAATCCTTCTGCCCCAGCCTCTAGAACGTGGGACTGTAGACCGCCACATGTAACATTATTTTTTACTCTATTGTTTAGAATGTTAATGTATAGTGCTGATATAGTGGTGTCTAACTGAAATTATTTTAATGTTTAATCGTTGCACTTCCTGTGAAAACATAGAGTAATTGTTCATGTTAATAACAGGGAAAGCCGCATGCATTGACAAACTATGCATCACTCCCGAGGAGCTGATTTCGCGCCTGGGAGAGTTTAAACAGTTCTGCCCTGTCAGCCTAGCAGAATCCAATGAACTAATTGACTGCTCTGTAACCAGCAGCTTGGAATTTGCAGCAGAGTTCAGGGGACACTATTATAAAATGAGTTCCCAGGAAAAGCTAAATGTAAGTCTGTTTCTCATGTAAATATTCATTGAGGGAAGAAAAGGGAAGTCTTGAGCTTCATCAAATGAGAAAAACAGGCACCCTTGGGAATGCTCAGAGAATTGGGACCAGGAACCCCATCATTGGAGCCTGTGACTCGGATCTATGAGAAACTCAAAGGGTAGCCTTGAGACTACCCGACCCCCAGACATATTTAGAAGGCTTTGGCCAGTGGTGGATCATGGGTAGTCTGTGAGGCAAGGAAAGCCAACGGTTGGGTGTCACCAATGGAAGAGCTATGAAGCACCACAAAATTCATCCTGCAGAAAGACACCCAGGGGTTCAGCTTCAAGGGCTGAGGGAAAAAAGTGCAAGTCAGCAGGGATGAAGCAAGAGCTTGGCTGTTGTCTTCCATATTTAAAACAGACACATGAAACACTAGGATTTCCCAGTTATCCCCAGCATCTGTGAGGCCTGGTTCCAAAACATTCCCTCCAAGAGTGGCCGAGTCTGTGGATAGAGGAGGGTAGTGTTTGCACATAACCTAACTGCACCAAGAGTGGCCGAGTCTGTGGACAGAGGAGGGTAGTGTTTGCACATAACCTAACTGCACACATCCGCCCACACCCATTAAGCCACTTCTAGACGGCTCAGAATACATATTACAGTGTGAATGCCATGTGAGAAGTTGTCACGCTGATCGTTCAGGGGATGGTGAACGTCAGAAATAGCATCCATGTTCAGTAATGAACGTCCAATATGCGCAATCAGAATCTGAGGCCTCAGAACCCACAGATATGGAGAATAGGCTACTTGTACCCACGGATTTAAAAGTCTAAGCATGTACTGATCCCATGTTTGATGCCTGTGACTTGATAATATATAGTGGTTGGTAACTAAGACAGTAACAAAACCTAATTCGAATACTTTATTTTCCTTCGAAGAATGAATATTTTAATTTCTTTACTGGGAAGGGTGCTTACTTCTATCTGCTCATAGCATAATCACAGAACTTTCAAAGCAGAAGTCATGGCAGATACTCTGTGCCTTTGCCCTTTGCAGAACAACCACAGATGCTGGAGAGCCCCCAAAGGGCAGAGATAGGCTGCCAGGTGCCTAAAGACCCTCCAGTCCTTGTCCTTGTCGTAGAATAAGAACTAAAAGTAGTATATTTTTACATAAGAAGAGACCTTTATTTGCTTGGGATTATTGTCCTGAGAAACTTCTTATGGGAGAAGTTACAATAACTTCTCTCAGATGGCTTGAAAGGCTACTGGAACAGGAAAAGGGCTGGACAGCCTCCAGTGATGGCTTCCTTGGTGAGTTATTGCTGTTTTAACTGCTTTCACTGCTGCATCTCTTTTCTTAACAGAAATTTCTGAAGGACCCAGAATTGTACGTACCTCCCTTAGCACCGCATCCACTCCCGCCGGACGATATGCTTCCTAAAAGGCTGACGATCTCAGAGCTGAAGAGTCGCTTCCCTAAGTGTGCTGAGCTGCAGGGCTACTGCCCAGTGACTTACCAGGATGGAAAACAAAGGCAGGTCCTCACGCTCGTGGGACAGACATGCCCTGCTCAGAGCCAGTGGACAACGGTTCTGAGGAGTTATTCTTATTCTCGTTTATGTGTGAGAGCATGTGTGTGCATGTGGGGGTGGGAGTGGGGTGTGTGTGTGTGTGCATGTGTGTGTATGCATGTGTGTAGAAGCCAGAGATTAAGTTGGATGTGGTCCCTCAGCCAACAAGCCCCAGAGATCCACTTATCTCCATCTTGAATGGCACCTTTTAACTTTTCCATTTCATAATGGAAATCAGCTCTTCCTGATGTAAGCTAAACATCTGCAGAGCGTTTTGATTTTTTAAAATTAGTGTAATCTAAAAATAATAATAATATAATCTGATTTTCAAATATTGTTTTCAATTATGTTTCAAACTACATTGAAGTACTTCCCTTTGAGAACTAACACCATGTGCACACAGGTACAGAAGCCAGAAGAGGGCATCTGATCACTTGGAACCACTCACCATGGGTGCTGGGAACTCCTGCCCCCTGCAAGATCAGCCCACCATGCTCTTAGCCTCTGGGCATCTCTCCTGCCCAGAAAGCCTTACCACGCTCATTACTCAGGGAAATGTTCCTTTCTTCCTTGAACTGCACACATAGAAAAATGAAACATTTTTGACATGCAGTACACTTTGGTCATGCAGTACACTTTGGTCATGCAGTACTACATATTAATTACACAACACATTAATCTCACAGTGGTTTTTGATCTTTCAGATATGAAGCCCTAGTGCCTGGGGACATCCAGTATGCTGTAGAGTATCGTGATCGCATATTTACTTGTGAGAGCGAAGAAAAACTCCAGAAATTCTTGAGGTGAGATTATTCACCAAATTATAAATATGTTTATTATCTTCCATGTTCCATGTACCATGCCTGGAACTGTGGGATGGGAAGGGAAGTCATAAACACACACAGATACACACACAGGTCAAGTACTGGGGCTCTACGATGCATGATAGATTTTGAGGACCTGACAATAACAGGATATTATGGGCCCTTGGCTTAGGGTTTTACTGCTGTGAAGAGACACCATGACCGAGGTAACTCTTATAAAGGACAACATTTAATTGGGGCTGGCTTACAGGTTCAGAGGTTCAGTCCATAATCATCAAGGCAGGAACATGGCAGCATGCAGGCAGGCATGGTGCAGGAGGAGCTGAGAGTTCTACACCTTCATCTGAAGGCTGCTTGGAGAAGACTGGCTTCCAGGCAGCTAGGATGAGGGTCTTAAAGCCCACACCCACAGTGATACACCCACTCCAACAAGGCCACACCTACTCCAACAAGGCCACACCTCCAAATAGTGCCACTCCCTGGGCTAAGCATACTCAAACCACCACAGGCCCTAAGTGTGAGGAAGGGCCTAGTACTCTGGCATGGTTAGATTGTGAGTGAGGCCTGGGAATGGACTACAGTAAGAGATAGAGGGCCAGACTCCAAGCTGATGGGCCTCCAGTCAGCCTGCCCCTGGGGACTCAGGAACTGATAGGAAATCAGCACCATGTCTGGCTGTGACACAGTGGCAGGGTAAAGTTCAGAAGGCCAAGGAAAAGCACCAATCGGCATTCAGACTTTATCCCAAGAGCTACAGTAGTAAACAGCCTGTCTCTAAGCTAGGTCAGTGTTAGAACCCATTTGGCTTAGGGATGGGATCTCCATGGGGTTTTAAGAATGGGCTGGAGGCAGAAATCATGTTTCCAGTACAGTTATTGTAAATGGAATATGAGCTCACACCCCAAGAACCTCCCCTCTGCCACCGGAAACCCCCCTCCCCTCTGCCACCGGAAAC